AAGGGAGGGAGTGCTCGGGAGCCCGTCCCAGGCACTGCTTGTTGCTTACACAACCTACGCCACTGGCGATAGAGCCGTCTGCGCGTTCTACGCCTGATAGCGCCCCTAGATTGTTTAAGGTTTCGGAATTTAAGTTTAGGTTTCAGGTTTAGGCTTCAGGGATTAGGTTTTAGGTTCAGGGTCTGGAATGGAGGGTGCGGGATTGTACTTATAGCATCATACAAACCAGTTGAGAACACCACATATCCCCATCAGTAACCAAATTACTTAGGACCCCCTAGCTCCCAGAATAGTTTCACACCGATCTCCTGTTTGGTTGAGGGTGTGCTTCCTGGTGGTTAGTAAGATTGAAGCAATAAGATACAGCGACTACTATGTGATTCTATTGTGAGGAGTCTACAGAATCACCAAGAGGAAACCTCCATCTCCTTCTCCCCCTGATAGGTTCAGGTCGGTGAGGTCACCAAATGCCAGCGGACTTCGCACAAAGTGCGCGGATGAAGACACATTGATGATCCTCGCAGCAGGCTGCATGCAAAGAAGAAGCACCATGGGTCTGTGACCATGAGGCTTCAGTTGCAGGGCCAAACCCCCATAGCACGTATGCCACCGAAGGGCTGTTAGTCCTCCATTTTGGGGGGATTCTTTGCCTTCGAAAGAAACAACAACTCATAAGCGCATACTGTCCACATTCTCTTGCTGGTGATTAGTGGGGAATAGGGGGGGTATATTATATACGGTATATATTGGGATCATAATCCCATATTCCCTGCAAACCCCAAACCCTTTATACATGTATATATCCCTCATTTTTTGTAATCCCCAGTAAGTTCTGTCAGGCTGTCCTTGCAGGGTCCCCATCGACACCAGTGGCTGCTAGCTGCGGTATCAGCAGGTTGACAAGCAAGAAATGGCTCAGGTAGTTCACCTGGCATTTCTCAAAAGAGCCCCTATAAAATCTCTAAGGGAACCTGGGGAACCCCTTGCAATGTTTAAAGCCCAGCCCCCTTCTGGGCAAGCCCCACCTCCAGTTGGAGCTCGTTGCCATCAGAGGAGACCTGCCTCTCTGGCAAGGCCATCACCGCCGCGTTGCAGACGAGCGTGTGTAAAGGCAGTTGCATTTGCTGAAATTCCTTGACGGCTTCCCGTACAGATTGAAACGAAGCTAACTCCAGCGGCAGAAATTCCAGCTTTGTTGAAGAAAGTGGTGAAAGCTCCTGGATCGTCGCTTCGGTCTTTGCCTCATTGTGCCCTGCCAGCAGGACTGTGGAATACATCCCACTGCGACACAGCTGCTCTGCTGTGGCTTTGCCTATTCCTGTAGATGCACCTGTTATCAAAGCGACCTTTTTGGGTTTCTCTTGTTGTTTCGCAGCTCTTGCCCTGTTTGGCTGGGCAAGCACTGTGCCCAGAAAGAGACCGGCAAGCTGGCGAAACCACTGGGCTCGGGTTGGCTGACAACGGTCTACAGGGCGTGCCAGGAGCCTGTGTCCCTGCTGAGCTGGTGATGTCCTAGCGTGCTGTGACTGTGAAATGCAGACGGAGGTTGAAGTCAGCTCGACCGGCGCAGCAACCATGGTCAGCAAGAGGCGTCGCACCAAAAAAAGTCGAAGCTATGTGTTACAGGTGAGCAAGCAGCATGAAGAATTTGCTTAGCTGCAAATGCGCGTGCGTGTGTGCCTGTACGCGCCCCAAGAATCATACCAGAGTGGGCCATGCGCATCAATCAGCTAACACTTGGTAGTTCTTGAGACACATTCCGTGGCAGCGGATGTTGTAAGAACTTTGTAAGCAAGCAACAAACAGAAACTGGTGCTAAGGACTTGTCAGAATAGATTGCACGCCATGACACGAGAACCTTTTGCATCCAGGGGCTGTTGAAGATTGGGGTTATATTGGGATAATGGAAAAGAAAATGGAAACTACTATAGTATGATAGGGTATATATTCGGGATATATAGAGATAGGGGTTATATTGGTGCTATATTGGGATAATGAAAAAATGGAAACTGCTATTCAGGGTTTAGGGTTTAGGGATATTATCCTCCTCTGTAATGCAGAATCGAATGAAAAAGAACATGGAAAATGAAATGGAAACTAAACCCTAAGCCCCAAACTGAGATGCTAAGCCCTTCATCCCAGAGCTTGCTCCTGCATGCTGGAATCTAGGATCTATATGGGGGAAATTTAGGGTTTAGGGTTTAGGGTACATGGCCTGTCTAATCTCTTTGAAGCCCCTGCTAGAACAAACATAATATGCTCGACGATAATATTCCATAATATACTATAATATACCAGACTATAATATACCGTAATATACTGTACTATACCAGAATATGCCATAGTATACTTTTTACATACCGCAACACACTATAGTATTCCATAATTTGCTATAAGAAACAAGAATATACTAAAATACACCTTAATACACTATACTATAATAGTATAGTACACTATACCATCATATACTACAACATTCTACAGTGCACTATACTGGATCATAATTTCCTATAACATTCTATAATATACCATACTACACCAGAAAATACCTACTAGAATATTCTACAGCACACTATACTATTCCATTAAAACTGTACTATACCATACTATACTACAATAAACCATAATATAACATAATCTTCTATCATATACCCTACACAGGGAACCCTAAAACCTAAACCCTATCTCTACCATTTCCGTGGGGCAGGGTAGACAACCCAAGCCTACCAGACTGACTGAGTCGCCCGCGCCAGATCCCTGCTGCAGAGTTGAAAGTCCCCAGCTCTGTACCTGAATTAGGGTTTAGGATTTAGGGTTTAGGGTCTAGGGTACTTCGAGGGTCAGTGGACTAAGTAAGCAGGGTCTGTGGTTCTAAGGTCAGCGTAAGTACAGTTTTATGGGGATTCTGGCTTTATGGGGGTTCTAAGTATACGAACTGAGACGTCCAACTTCCATCCGACGTCTCTCTGACTGTCAAGTAGGGGTATTGGACTTCTCTACATTGCACGCCGCGCTCGGAAATCGCTAGGGAGTCCCAGCGGCCAACATAGCGCAGTCTTCAATTTGCGATTTTGAGTTTAAGCGTTTCTCGCACGCAGAGGGCTCCAGTCACCAAAGACTACTTAAATCGCGGAATGCCAGGTGTCACACTAGGGACGCTACTTTTGGGAAAACACACTGAAAAATGATTGAGACGTATGGGGCGTTCTCAAAAGTACGGGCCCCGTTTAACTATAGGTTACATTACGGCACATAATATTTAGGGGTACCAAAATGGGACCCTAATTTTGGCACTACCCATATGGGGGCCATCTGTTGAGTCTGAAAATTAGAAGGCCTCGGAGCATCACAGCAAAGCATGTAAGCATACTCGCACTCGCATGACACGCCGCACACGGCACAGTGCTCTCCACTGTCACATACTTCCAGTCTTCGGGCATAGTGCACCAAACTATGACAAGGGTTACGGAATAGGTTTTGGGTTTGGGGCAAATTCTTGAACTAGTTGGATCACTGCTACAAGAAGATCCCAAGACATCACACATGTTGCGTATATATCTACTTTAATATCAGTGCTTGACCTATTGGTGTCGACAAACGAACTATAATCTAAACTCCTACTATCCCCCTTAATAACCCTTATAAACCCTATCCAGTCCCCTATATAACCTCCGAAATCCTAAACCCTAAACTCTGTATGATCCCCTATATAGCCTCCCTGTAAGGCGTAATTAAAACCCTACACCCTAAACCCCAAACCCTAAACCCTAAGCCCCTAAACTCTACACCCCAAACCCCTAACCCTAAACCCCAAAGCCCTAAACCCTAAACCCTTAAACCCTAAACCCCTAAACCCCTAAACCCCTAAACCCTAAACCCCTAAACCCTAAACCCTATAGCTCAAATAATGCCGATCACTTAGAAGGCCAGGCGGCCATCCAATCGGCCACCACATCAGCTTCAACTTTCTTGTTCTGGCACCTGGTGTACTTGGAGGTTCATTAGGGTTATATAGGGGTATGTAGAGATATAGTGGGTTTAGGGATTGGCGTAGGGTTTTCCAGATTTTGGGGTAGCCTTCTTGGGGTCATATAACAAGGGTTATGGTATTCAGGGGGGTCCCCCTATTTAGGGAAACTTCCAAATGGAACTTGGACCAGAAGTAGCAACTGCACCATGGCAATAACGCCATTCCGGCATCTCGTTTATAACCCGGCTTACCCTCTAGCCTGCTTCTAACTGAGCCCATGAACCTGCAAGAAAACCTACAGGCTCTGCCCAAACAGATACAATAAAGGGACCCCTCTTAGAAGGAAGTTTATGAAAGAACCTGTAGCATCTTAGGGTGCATCTGTTTGGGTATTGCACGCTGGGGTTTAGGCGTTCTGGCCTGGGGTTTAGGACCTAAGGCTCCAGGGTCTGGGTTTTAGGGCTTCGTGTTTTCACGCGCTTCGCACAGGTTTGCGAATTTGGGGGGGTCAGGTTTGTACGAGGTTGTACCTGAGCACCTCTTACCTGCATTCTCCCTAGGTCCTGCAGCCCCTGGATTGAATATATACCTGAACAGGTCTCACAGTGACAAAGCTACCAGGTTCAATGAATCTGCATAAAACCCTCTCTCTCATCGTAATGGGTCTGGCACAACAGGTAAGCCAACGGCGAGGCGAACCGCAGCAAGTTGAACATTGAGCAAAAACACCCAGTAAGCAACTCTAATGATGCACACCAGCGTGTGTGTGTGTGTGTGTGTGTGTGTGTGTGTGTGTGTGTGTGTGCTTTGCTTGGCTGCTTTAACTCAGGTACTGAATGCATTAAGTCATTCCCTCTTGTTGCCAGGAAAAGGTAATAGGAGCATGTAGCACAGGTCCCTGAGGGACAGTTACCGGAAGGGGGAATGGCCCAAAGTAAAGTTTAGGGTTTAGGGTTCAGGGTTTAGGGCCCAAAGCATGGAGCAGAAGGCACCATCGAGAGCCGCAGCTGGTAGAGGTCCACTCCTTCCACTGCTCCTGAGTTTCTGTTTGCTGTAGGGGCTTGGATTACCAAAGAGTAGACTAAAACCTACTTGAAGTAATTACCCTATACTTTCATTGCAGGATCACTCCAACACCATAACAGTGCTAGTTCTTTAGGAACCTGCATTATGAAAATTAAGTTGCTACCAGAAGATGGCCAGGTGCTACAGAAAAACTGTATAGGATCCAGAGCCCCTTCAACGTAGGGTTTTAGTTTTAAGGCTTAGGATTTATGGACACGACTCCACAAAAAGGCAAACAGTCGGCAAACAATGAGAACTTCTAAACCCTGCACACTGAGCGCCAAAGCCCAAATTCCCACAATGGTCCTACAAATTATGTGATTTTAACCCATCAATCCTCCCCTAAGTCCTGAACCCTAAACCCTAAACAATGTAGTAGCGTCCATTTTCTTTTCCATTTGTTCATTACTAACCCGCCCTTAAACCCTAAACAATGTAGTAGCGTCCATTTTCTTTTCCATTATTTCTAGCCCCCCTGACCCTCCAAGTAATGGGGATTAGGGGTATATGGGGTGATATTAGGGTTATATTAGGGTTAGGACCCTAAACCCTAAACCCTAAACCCCATTCCTTTTTAATGGGGTGGGGGATCCCTCAGCCTAACGCCGAGGCTCGCTGGTCCAGCCATCAAAACGGGGCTCGGGTTCGTAGAAAGTGGGCCAGGGAGCCCAGCCTGCGGCAAGACTGCGGCTACCTGAACCCCAAAAGCATGTGCCTTTTGAGCTGTTTTTAGGGGGTTTGGGGTTATTATTTTGCCTAGTTTTGGGGTCCATGACCCAAGTCGGGTGTACACTTTTTATGGTTTAGCATGAGCTTATGGTGTTCTAGTATGCTACGTCGTTTTGTCAAACATCTGAATCTAGGGATTGGGTTAATCTAGCGCGAAATTTCTCTCGACTCCCCATGTAACCTGCTCTAGTCCCATGTATCATACCACGGGTCCTTCTGAACTCGCTGTAGCAAGCCACAGAGCTGGTTTGAAGAGAAAGCCAAAGTGTGTAATGTTTTTGGTCTGGGGTCTGAGGATCACGGAGGTTGTGCAACATCTTTAAATGAATCTGGAGTGTGAGTAGAGCTTCTAGGGTGCTAAAAGCACTAAAGGTGTCCTACTGTGCAAGTCAGAACCGCTAACCCGCTAACCATGCACAAGAGGGGGACTGCTGCGCAATGAGCCGTGGCTTCCATATCACCAGCACGAGACAGGAGACATGCATGATCGATCATAGGGCATGCTGGCTATGATGACTGTTGCGACATGGTCGTAGAGGACATATGACCTGTTTAAGAACTGCGGTCGGGACTGTAACAAATGACCGCAGAACAAAAAAAGATGTTCACCCTGCATGGTCCCTGGCAAACATGCTGTTGATACTAGCTGTTGCTGGAGTTTCCAATCTTATGCTGGGGTAAGCTCCAAGCACTCGTCCACAAGCATCTCCAGAACACCAATTGACAATTGCTACTCCTAGACTTACTGGTGGTTAGTAGGGAATATGGGACTATATTATAAGGGGGTTATATAGGGATTATATTCTCTCATTC